CCCCCATTGCCAGCTGCTCCTGCAGGGATGAAAGGAGAAGGCACCTACTCCCCTGGCCCTGGGGTGGAGTCCTGTGGCCCAAGGCCCTGTTGTCAAATCTTGGTGCTCAGTCCTGCTGTTCAAGGGACCATCCTCAGTCTGTTCTGCCCCCTCATTATTGCTGCAGCCCCTTGGAGGCTTCTGTTAGGGACCATCTGTGAAGGTGGGCGGGCACAGAGCCTAGAGTGCTGGAGGCCAGCCTGCTCAGATGCAGTTTCCCCCACAGCCGCTCTGCTCCGTACCTTCAGCTTTATGGGCTTTGAGATTGTGAGACCGGGGCATCCCCTTGTCCCCAAGAGACCCGACGCTTGCTTCATGGCCTACACGTTTGAGAGAGAGTCTTCTGATGAGGATGAGTAGCAGCTGCACCGCCTACGCCCCTCACCTTTGCCATCACTGACAGATCATCACAGATCGTAGCCCCTTTGTGTGTCTCGCTTTGTGCGGGTGGTGTGACCAACTGCTGCACTGGGGGGTAAATGCTAGGCCTGCTCCCTCTTCTGGGTTTGTCCGCATGTTGTAATTGTGCAAATAAATGCTCACTCCAAATTAGCGGTATATTTCTTGAAGTTTAATATTGTGTTTGTGATACTGAAGTATTTGCTTTAATTCTAAATAAAAGTTTATATTTTACTTTTTTATTGCTGGTTTTAAGGTGATACAGATTATCCTTGTACTTCAAGCAGGAGTTTCTTATTTGAAGTTTTGGAAACAGTTTTAGGTCTTAACTTGGAAAGATAGTATTAATCTACTCTTCTATTGCTTTCAAAAATCTGAATAAAAGTGATTACATCTAAGACCTGTCTGGGCTCAGTGGTGTTGATTTGTCCTGTAGGGTCCTCAGTTACCTGGGGTGGGCTGGAGCTCTTAGCAAGTATGTCATGCATCCTGACCTGAGTGACCACCTTTGACGGGGGAAAAACAGGCCTGGTGTGGGCAGCCAAGGTCTTAGTCTCTCCTCTGCCTGCAGCCAGGTTGTGGGATGTGCTGGGCAGTCCCATGACAGGTTTCAAGATCCTGGGGCCCCACCCTTCCACTTAGTTCCACCTTCCCTCAGCCAGGCATCTCCAAGGCAGCTGTGGGTGGCATCCTGCCCTGTCCCACTCATACCTTGGTCCTTCAGGCCCCCTGCCCTGTTCCCTTCCCTGGGCTGGAGGCTCGCCAGGTTCCTGCTCACTGAATGGCCTCACCTCTGCCCAGAGCTGTTGGGGGCCTGCTGGGACTTAACCAGGGCAAGTATGGGTATATGAATGTGGGCTCCCCCTCAGCAACTGTGCAGACTCTACATTCCAGTTGCTCCTAGGGAGGGCTTTGCAGTGCTTTTCCGGAATAGGAGCACTTGGGGGTGGGTGGGAATTGAAGTCGCAAGATGGGCAGGATCACATCTCCACGTGCTGGCTGCATCTGGGCATCGATCAGAGATTCATATCCAGACCTTGGCTGGGAAATAGGCTGCGAAGGGAGCATCTTTGACAGAGGAGGAAAGCTGCTGGGAGACTTGCATATTTGGGAGTGGGATGGAATATTCAGCCACCTGAGTGATGGAGCCGGTTTTCAAAGGCTTGGGGGGTACAGAGCTGGACGCAGACGCTCCCAGTCAATGTGGGCAGGTCAAGGCAGAGAAAGGGCATTGGGTTAGGGCATTGAAAGATGAATAGGAGTCTGAAGCAAAGGTGTAGAGGGGAGGGTGTTTCCAGTGGAAGAAATAACTTGGGCAAGGCCTGGAGGCCAGAAAATATTTCCAAGGGTGGGCAATGTGGCAGGAGAAGTTGGCTAGAGAGCTTACCAGAGCCTTTGTATGAACCCCACTGTATTCTGAAGGGATTAGGGAGTCATGGGAGATAATTGAGCAGGAGAAGGACCTGCTCATATCTAGGAGTTAGAAAGATTCCCTTCAGGATCACCATATTAGGGGAGTAGGAGTGAGGAGGCATGACTGGAGACCCTAGGCAAGAGTATAGGACTCCTGTGTCCATTTTTCAGAGGCATAAACAGTTCCCCTTCACTCCCTCAGGTCCCCCGATGGGTCTTGCAGGCCAGTTTGTTTATCCCCCTGTGTTATTAATCACCTACTATGTGTTAAGCCTGTCCCCTTTCCTCGGGGAACTCACAACCTGGTGGGTAACAGTAAGAGATGCATAAATAATTCCAGGTGGTTTTAAGTGCTTTGGAAATAGAGGGAGGTGAAGAGCTAGAGAGGGCCCAGGAGAGGAAACTTTATTTAGAGGAGGTGAGATTGGAACAGTCTGGCAGAGGGAACAGCCCATGCAAAGGCTGGGTGACAGGACAGAATTTAATGTCAGAGGAACAGCAGAGAGGCCACGGTGGGTGGAGAGAGCTTGGGCCAAGTGGCAGGGCATGGGAAGGTGAGTTCAGATTCCCCTGGGATGGGTTGTACTGGGTCGCCCTCCCCTCCCCCCAGAGACCCCAAGCAGCTCTTGACAAGGACATTCACACTGGAGGAATCACTGGCCATGCTTGCTCAGCACCAGGGGGTGCTCAGGGACAAGGAATGCCTTCCATTCTGGCATTGGAGGGAGTGTCCACACTCTCTGCTCTTATAGAGACAGTGACCAGCACTAGAAGGGCACCCTGGCTTCTGCTGGAAGGAGTTCCACACACATTGATTGGCAGGGCGTGTCCACACCTGGAAAAGGGGTAGGTGGCCTTGGTATCAGAAATCCTCAGCTGGCCCTGGACATTAGCCCCCAGCCCTGGAAGGGGGTGCATCTGCCATCTAAGGGTGGACTTGGGCCCAAGGGAAAGGGGCAGGAATTGGAGGAGGGGTGTCCATACACCTGCACTCTCCACTAGCCTCTGGCCTCTTCTGGAAGTAGGTGTCCATCATATTGTGAAGACACTGCCACCAGCCCCAATGCCGGAAGGCGTGCCTGTCTCTTGCAGAGGCCCTGGAACAGGCAAGTCGCTCTGGGAGGGCGATGCAGCCCAGCGAGCCTTTTGTGACCTTTGACAGGTATTCACAGCTCAGCTAGTCCTTCCAGGCTGGGCTCCTCCCCACCCGCAAGGCCCGTTCAGCCAGGTGCAGGACCAGCAGCGCGCTGCACACCCGCAGCCAGGGCCCTGCGTTGCTCTGCGGCCCTATAGCTCTGGCATGAAGCGCGCAGCACCTCAGGGCTGCAGAGGATCATGCATGGGCCAGATGGGCTGCGAGGCTCTCCAGGCCGGCAGCCAACAGAGCAGGCAGCCCAGCTGCAGCGCGTGGGCGGCTAGGGGTTACGTGGGCGGCCAGGGGTCCCGAGGACCCTGGGCAGACTCAGCCAAGGTTCCAGAGCAGCAGGCATAGGGCTCAGGTGTCCGAGCAGTCCCACGACACCACCAGAGTAGCTTCTCTGGTAGCAGATCTGCTAGGAATGCGCCCAGGCCTCCAGATGCTCCAGGGCCCGCGCTCAGCTGCAGTAGCAGCAGGGCCAGGGCTCAGGGGAAGTCCGCGGGCCTCTGCGCACCCTCCTCCAGCCAGTGAACTCAAGCACCTCCGCCGCCAGCGCCACAGGCAGCTCCAGGGCGCCTCTCAGGCAGTTCACGCTCAGACACTAGACCGCAGAGCCCCTGGAGGTTGAAGTGCAGGGGCAGCGAGGCCTGCAGCTCCAGGACCCGCGGGTGGCGCCTCTTGGCTCCAGGCTTGGGCACCTGCAGAGCAGAGGGTGGCCGTCAGGGCCTGACTGGGAGACCCCCAAACCAGCACGGCCTGCCTTGAAGCCTTCCTGCCTACCCCAATCTGCTCCCACTCTGGCTTTGAGTGGGGGGGGACAGCCTGCATGCCTCTAGGAGCAGGGGTTAAATGTTAATTTGGATGTTAGTCACCAAGATTATTTTAAGGAAAACGACACCAGACAGGATGGCGTGTAGGAGTTAAACTCTCCAGCCTAGGAATGGCGTAGGTCCTTACCATGCGGTAAAGTGTGAGGTGACAGTTAAGGTGTCAGAGCTGGGCTGTCCTGTAGAAATACAGCACTGGCCATGGTGTCATTTAAAATTTTCCATTTGCTACATTTTCGAAAAATGAAAAGACACAAGTGAATATATTTTATTTAACCCACTATGTCCAAAATGGTATCCATCATTCAAGAGGTCATCAATAAAAATATTGAGATATTTTACATTTATTATCTTTTTTCTTTAACATATATATGTTTTTATATATCTTTATTGATTTCAGAGAGAGGAAAGGAGAGGGAGAGAGAGAGAGAGAAACATCAATGATGAGTCATTGATCGAGCCCGCAACCTGGGCAAGTGCCCTGACCGGGAATCGAACCCTGATCACCTGGATCCTGGGTTGATGCTCAACCGCTGAGCCACGCCCGGCCGGGCTACATTTATTATCATTTTTGATAGTCTTCAAGATCAGAGCATATCTCAGCCAAGAACAACCCCATTTCATGTGCACAGAAGTTACCCATGGCCACTGGCTGTAGTAATGGACGGCATAGCTCTTTCTAGAAGGTCAAGAGAGCATCAGGTCTGGGAATTACATTAGAATCACCTGGGGGGGCCTGTTAAAAATTATAGGTGTTGTCCTAGCTGGTTTTGCTCAGTGGTTAGAAGGTCGGCCCACACACTGAAGGGTCCTGGGTTCAATTTCTGCCAAGGGCTCATACCTCATTTGCAGGCTCAATCCCCCGCACTGGTTGGGGCTCGTGGAAGGCAACCACTCCATGTGTCACTCTCACATTGATGTTGCTCTCTCTGTGTCTCTCTCCCTTCCGCTCTCTCTAAAAAAACGCAATGGAAAAAAATATCCTCAGATGAGGGTTAAAAAAAAAAATTTTTTTTTAAATTACAGGTGTTGTGGGGGGCTCTGGGGTTCTATATTTAAACAATAACCCAGCCGGGCGTAGCTCAGCGGTTGAGCGTCGACCTAGGATCCAGGCGATCGGGGTTTGATTCCCGGTCAGTGCACATGCCCGGGTTGTGGGCTCGATCAATGACTCTCTCATCATTGATGTTTCTATCTCTCTCTCCCTCTCCTTTCCTCTCTCTGAAGTCAATAAAGATATATTAAAAAAATAAAAATAAAAACAATAAAGTCCCCAGGGACCTCTGAGGTAGAGTCAGGATTGAGCTATTCACTAAAGAACTCACAGTCAACAACAACTTACTCCTTCCATACTCCAGTCTGTAAAATGGGCCCATAATAACATTCTGCCAGATTGATTAGATTCCCCAGCATGGTGATGCGCCTGCTGCTCGGCGGTATGGCTTATTTAACAGGAATTTTTTTTCTTAGTGGTACATTAAACAAGCATCGTCATCTTTTTTTTAAGATAACTTTATTTTTTGTTAATCCTCACCTGAGGATTTTTCCCATTGATTTATTTTATTTTATTTTTGTTTAAAATATTACAGATGTCCTTTTTTCTCCCCAATGACCCGCTCCACCCCGTCCCTTCCCCCTCCCCAGTCCCTCGCCCCACCATTGTCCCCGTCCTTGGGTTTTGCATATATGCATATAAATTCTTTGGTTACTCTCTCCCCCTCCAACGACCCGCCCTCCTCCATCCCTCTGACATTCGTCAATCTCATCTATGCTTCCATGTCATTGAATCTATTCTGTTCATCAGTTTATTAAGTTCTTTAGATTTTCCCATTGATTTTTAGAGAGACTGGGAGGGAGGAAGGGAGAGAGAGAGGAAAAAAAAAATTAATGTGAGAGAGACACATCTATTGGTTGCCTCCTGCAGGCACCCTGACCAGGGCCGGTGATGAACCTGCAACTCAGGTATGTGCCCTTGACTAGGAATTGAACTCACCACCCTTTAGTGCACAGGCCAACGCTCTAACCACTGAGAACACTGGCCAGGGTGAAACAAAGCATCTTCTGATGAAATGTGGTTCCACTCGAATCGTAAAGTCAGAGTGAGGATTAGATGAGTAAATGAGTCCAAAAGTTATTAGAACAGCGCTGGCCAGTGTGGCTCAGTTGGTTGAGTGTCATCCCATGCACCAAAAGGTTGCGGGTTCAATTCCTAGTCAGGGCATATACCCAGGTTGCAGGTTTGCTCCCTGGTCGGGGTGCGTGCTGGAGGCAACCAATCGAGGTTTCTCTCTTTTTTCCTCTCCCTTCCTCTCTCTCTAAAATCAATGAAAACCTTAAAAAGAAACATTTAAAAGTTCTTAAAACAGTGCAAGACACAAAGGAAGTGCTCAATACATTTTGGAGGTTGGTGATGATGATTATTATTGTTATTATTATTTAAAGTGGTGGCTGTCACCCGGCCGGGGTGGCTCAGCAGTTGAGCGTCGACCTAGGATCCAGGTGATTGGGGTTCGATTCCTGGTCAGGGCACATGCCCAGGTAGCAGGCTCGATCAATGACTCTCTCATCATTGATGTTTCTATCTCTCCCTCTCCTTTCCTCTCTCTGAAATCAATAAATATATATTTAAAAAAAAATAAAAATAAAAAAATAAAGTGGTGGCTGTTAATTGGCTGTGGCTGGTGAACTGAGTGGTTTTCCAGCCAGAATCTACTGGGGAGTGAGTTTAAATGCAGATTCCTGAGTGGCGTGGGGAGGGAGTTTTAACAAGACTCCCAGGTGATGGAGAAACATGGTTCTAAGGGCTGACTGTGCTAATTTGCGTTAGTTGCAAAATAAGCAGGGATGGGTTATGCCTAGATGGAAAGTTGGGGAGCCCTTTGAGGAGGAGGGAAGATGGTGGCGTTCACCTTGGCTGCCAGAACGTGACAGGCCGCCTCATCCACCCTCACCATTCCGTAGTATAGGGCGTCCCTGCTCTGCTCTCCATACAGGTCGACCTGTTCAGGAGGTGGAAGTTGTGACCCGGGCAGCAGGGGCCAGGTGGCCCCCCAGGAACTGGGCCGGGAGCCAGGCATGCATGGAGCAGAATGCCCTCCAGTTGCCAGGCCTCCAGCATAGCATACACGGCCTCTGGCTGGTGTAGGTTATGGAAGGACAGGCTCAGCTCAGTGTTCAGCGAGCAGAAGGGCAGCTCTGCAGGGGACAGGTTGGCCTGGTCTGGTCATTGCCTCTGGTTTGACTCTTGTCCACACTATGGGACCCCAGAAGGGGCCTCTGAGGCTGCCCTGCTGGAGTAGGGCTGGGGCTGGGAGCCCTTTGGGCGGGCAGGGACCTGGTCCTGGTTAGGGTTTTCTTAGGCAGTGGTGGGGGTGGGGACTGTGGATCAGTTGAGGAGGACCGGGATGACACCTGTGGGGGGAGGGAAGAAGGAGGGGGTGAGGACACACAGAGTATGGGGCCCTGGATACACGACTCCACCCCTCAGCCCCATGTCCCCATCTCTGAAATGGAAGTAATACTAACACCCAACTGCCCTGTGCTCTGTGAGGTAGGGATGACACTGTGTTACAGATGAGGAAACAGGCTCAGAGGAGTGACAGTCAGTGGCAGAGAATCCCAGAACTAGGTGACCCCCATACCCCCTTGTGTGGCTCTGAACAGCCCACTGCACTTCTCTTAACTCCAGTTTCCTCATTTTTACAAGCAGGCAAGCCTAGCTTTATTTTAAAAATAAAGGTAGTAAGAAAATGAAAACAATTGAGTTAAATTGTCATTAGGCAGAGAGTTCCTTAAATGGTAATTAGAGATTCCATCCTTTCCCTCTGGCCACCTCAGAGGGGCCTGGTGACCCGCTGTCCCCTCCTTCCCCCAGCCCAGGGCCCCTTTAGGTGGCTCACCAAGGTGGCTGCATGTGGGCTGAGTCAGCCAGGTGGGGGTGTTGGGTCTGGGGGTTTTGGTGGGTGGCTCAGGGCTGCTCATGCTGCTGATTGGGGGGTATGTGTGAGTGGGCATATATGGGGTGTCTGTGAGCGGTTGATGGTGGTAGGTGGGTATGCAAGGGACCTAGGCGAAAGCAGGGCAGTCTCACACACCTTGGCCCTCTTTCCCAGCCTTGACCCTGTTGTGCGGCCCTGGGAGGGTTTCTTGCCCTCTCTGGGCTCCTTTCTTCATCAGCAGGACAGGGATGTTGCCTATCTATTTCAGGGCGGTGGGAAGGACCCGGTACTTTTGTGATCTTGATAGAATAGCCAGCCTTGGGGCTGGGCCCTCTGGGGGAAGCTGGGGGCCAGTGGCAATATTCAGGTACCTGCACTTGGGCCTCATCCCCAGAGCTCAGCCCCCC